GTATTTCTTGAACTCGTCATACAACTGCTGTATGGAAGTTGGTTTCTTTCTTGCTAGGTGTGCAGCGAATGGCCCGATTCGGAGGCCTTTGATCGCTGCTTCGATGGCGATCTCGTCTGGGACGTCTGGTGCCTTCGCCTTTAGTTGCACGAATTTCTGAAAGTAGTCGTGTAGTGTCTCTCCCTGCATTTGCTTGCACTGGAACAGATTTGTGGAAGTCAGCGACTGTGCTGCTAGCCCCTTGAAGTTTGCCAATATCTTGTCCCGGAGGTTCTCCTAAGAATAGACCGTGCTTGGTTTGAGCATAGAATACCAAGCCAACGCGTCGCCTTCGGCTGCAATGACAAATGACTTTGCCAAGACGGCGTCGTCTCCGCCGGCGGAGGCTACTGCTGCCTCGTAACTCATAATAAACTGATGGGGGTCTGTCTTGCCGTTGAACTTTGGTAGTGTGATTGGCTTGTACGCTGTTGGCCATGGCGACTGTTGTATGCCTTCAGAGAGTGGGGACTTGGGATCGATAGGCCTCCACATCACCTGAGATGGCATCATGGTCGGGCTGATCACTGGCGGAGGTGTTGCTGTGGAGGCTGGGATTGCGGAGGTTGACGCTGGTAGTGCATGCTGCATACTTAGCATCTCAGCATGTAGGACTACCAACTGCTGCCTTATTTCTGCTGCTTGTGCTGACGCTTGAGTAGCTTGCTGATTAGCTACGAATGCTGCTGCCATTCTGTCTCTCTCTTGTTGCGCTCTTTGCAACCGTGCTTGCAGCTGTTGCAGTTCTTGCTCAAGTGTTGTGCCTGAATTTGGTTGGGCCTCCGGATCTTAAATTTCTGGATCTTGGGGTTCTGGTGGTTGACCCTGGGCATCTGCTCTGGTGTCATCCTCCGCAGTCGAGGTTGCGTAGGTGCTACGAGCGGTGCGCCTAGGCCTTCCTCTCTGACCCGTGGTCGTTGCTGCTCTGGTGGTGGTTTTTTGTTTTCCCTGCCATCGTTGGTTTGCCTTGGCCAAACCACGGTGGGCGCCAATGTTGAGACTAGCGGTCTCAGACAGCGTGGAGGAGACAGAGGCCTCCGCCCGCCGAGCGTTGCCCTCAGGCGGAGGCTCGGGATAGGCACGACAGGTGGGCGTGTAAGAAACTGGCACGGAAAGCTATGGTTTCATTAATTCATCAACCATTCATCTGCACTGTTACAAGTGTTCCCTATTTATAGGGCTCAACTACTTCTTGACAGAATTTATTACAATGCCCCTCAACTGCTACAGTACATTCCTGGAATATTCCGCCACTAGTCTCTTGTTTGCGGGGCAATCCTACCACACCGTCTTCAAGTAATGGGCCTCTATAAGCGGCCGACCCATCATGCCTCGGTCTTCGGCCCAGAGGCCTGGGTTCCCGACGCTGGCCTCTGTCTTCAGGGGCGCGCCGCTGCCTACGCGGGTCTCCGCCGGTCCAGTCGGAGACATCATCCGTAAGTCTCCGCCCGGCCGCGCGGGGGCCATGCTGGCGCGCTCGCGCGGACCACGGGCGCCTGCGCTTAGGTACTTGCACACACTTAGGCAAGATTGTTTGTTTGATTAGTTCGGGGGTAGGGCGGCGCCCTCATCGCCGGAGACGCCCGTCAGCCGAAGCGGGGCGGCGTCCGCCTAAGCGGCCGGAGATGTCTGTGCCTGGCCCGGGCGGAATCCGCGACAAGCTCGCTGAGCCTCGTGCAGCGCCCTACGAGCATAGCCAGGAAAGTTCCTTTAGTCAGCGCCAGATCTCCGCCCTAAGACGGTCGAAGACGCCTTGGTGACACCTCACCGTCGGAGGCCTTCGCCACCCGCCGAGGCCGTGTTACAACAATGCGTCAGTGAGCCTTGCTGGTTGCCACCAAGCAACTTTATATATGTGCTCCTTGGCACTTGCTCTATCACCCTCTAACGTCTCTATTACCCAGTTAAGTGCGTTCCTCAGCTGTGCTGGTACTTGACGGTAAGTCACCACCGCACCACCAAACACTTATGCACGGCTCTAAGAGTCGTTAGGAATACACTGACCTGCTATTTTTCTCCCTTTCGTGTGTTTTTTTTTTGGCGAGGACACATTTTTCTCCCTTTCGTGCAAACATCATTATTCTAAGTCCTTGGGTCGTCAGTAATGGAGCACGACCAGACCACACGTCCCACACCCACTAACGATGCGCGAAGACCAACGTAGTTGACACATGAGCATATCAGTGTCGCCAGCGTTGGGGCACCCGCAAATTCATTTTCACTGAATAAGCAGACACATCAGAAAAATAATGACATGACATAAATTATAAGAAGAGAGAGAAGATGAGTTTCATATGGATGAAACCAGCGTGCACTGTTACTAATTAATTGGAAGCTAAATGAAACTTAACTGAAAGCATTCCATTTCAAAACACCATGCATCATTTAAATATTTATCTCACTTTTGGAAACTATGTAAAGAACTAGCACTTGGAATAGCCTTAGCGCGTCCCCAACGATTTCTAAATCGCCGGCTTACCTGCAATTTCATTGGCCGCAGCAGCGCTAATCTTCCACGGACTAAAAAAAAAGCTCTCTTAGCTCTATGACGGTATGCGTATAGTCTGTTCCATATTGTTTCTATTTTTATTGTTTCTCTCGTTAGCTATTTGGTACTTCCGGTACTTCCGGTTGAGGACGACCATAATGCTCTCTTTAATATGTCCATGTAGGAGAGAGGGAGAGAATATCACGTTGCACGTGAAGACTCTGTTTCTTAATGTAGAAATGATTTCTTTCTTTTTCTCATCTCTCTTCGATAAATCTATTATCACATTAGCAAAATACTTATCTAGTAGTATAATTAATATATATGGAAACTTTTCTAGTTTTTGTATTGGGAGTGTCCGTCCCTATCAGGCTATTAGGTGGAGAGCAAAGGTCAAGGCATGCGCCAGGACGCTGATGTGAATACAGCAATGGGCCAATGACTTACGGAAAACAGTGATCTGATATAACGACCCGCACACAAAAATCTTTCTACAGTCAATGAATCAGCTTGTGGAAATCCTCGAGGAAAAGGAAGTCAACAGTGTGGCATTTTCTTCCTTCTAATATCTGGTCCTAAATAGGAGTGAAAGAACCAGCCTTTCGGACAGCCGTCCTCCAAGGAAGTCCATGTCCTCTGCATCTCTCAACATGGAGCACTCCCTCCGACTGACATCGTATTTCCTTCAATTCATCGCTGCCTGATAGTATAAGATTACCACATTAATCTTACATGTATCTACAATCCTTGATGCTTTGATGTGAAGTGGAAACACGATTTGTTATCGTCATGGGGATCAAGAGATTAGCCTCGTTAGTCATAGCGCTCGCTACTAATGATACATGTAGGATTGCTGGATTAGAGGTGATGACGATCACCAAGGCATCCATTAAGCCCTATTTTGATTCTCTGTAAATCTGGAGTATTGTACTGATATATAAAAAAAGATGTACCCAGTGCAGAGAGCTCCCGCTCTGTGCGGGGTCTGGTGAAGGGTGTCAGTGGCAAGCCTTACCCTCGCCTGTGCAATGCGAGGAGACCGCGCCTCGAACCCGGGATCTTCCGGTCACAAGCGGTAAGATTCTACCGCTTGCACCAGACCCGCCCTTCATTGTACTGATATATACTTTATCAAAAATTCTGAGTTCATAGCGGTGCTTGAAACCAACTATGGATGATCACTTTGTTGCTTCAAAAAGGTGCTCGAAATTTGTGTAAACATCCATTTCACCATAGATTCAGGCTCAGTTTCAGTTATATAAGTTTCCTATTATTCTTGCATTATGAGCTTGCTCCTTCTCAATTTGTCTCCCATTTGTTCAATACCTACATACTGTCACATACATAATATGGTACTTTCCTCTTTCATAAGCAATGAGAAAGCAAGCTGTCTATTTCACAATTGCACACGTTTTGTGCAACAGCACAATAATAAATCTTCCTCGCACTAATTATATTTGTTTTGACAATGTATTTTGCTTCAACTTCACCTACAGACTTATATGTTTTTACAAAAACAAAACGGTAAGACCTGTCAACACTAAAACCGTGTAATATGTGACGAATTCAGAATGTCTTGAACTGTTGAAATTTATTGCACTTTCATTGTTTTCCAGTCAGCCTTGCCGATGCACAGTTGCAGTTGCAGACTACCGCTATGTATAGTAAAATCTCTTCCCTCCCTCTGCGCTTTATACAAAACCTGGCCGAATACCTGGTACCAGTCTATTCTTTTCTACATCAATTGTTACATGAACTTTTTTCATTAGCTTAATCGACTACTATCAGGGTGAAGAAGCCAGAAATTTAGGGAAGCCAACTTAATGCAAATGCCCAATATTCGAGCAAGACACATCTACTTGACATCCCTTTTTTACTGCAAGCTGCATGGCAAGCCCAAGATCAATTGTTCAGTGCAAAAAACATCCTGACCTGGACGATGTAGTAGCCGCGCCTGGGTTTCTAGTATCTTGTATTTCAGAATGGACATTTTACTGTATCTACAAAATAGGGAGATTAAAGAATTGGTCAGTGGTTTCCTGCCAGCGTTTCGAGCAAACCAGCAGACCCGGGCAGGTCGTATATAACCGGTCCTACTTTGTTTCCGGCCAAATCACCTCATTTTAATTAAGATCAATGGTCCATGAGGACACTCTCAACCAAGAAACTAGATTGTTTCTTATATTCATTAATTATGGTATCAACTAAGCAAAAAGATAATATGTCACTTCAATTAAAGAAGAGATAGAAGGAAAACATGTGATTGGATAAAAAAATTATTCTATACAACCTATTCATTGAGAACCTAGCTGTTTCTATATGTAATGTCTACGTAAATTAATAGATATAGTAACTACGCATTGAGACTGCTTTAATAATCAAACGGAAGGGACCATGTGTTCCCCTTAAACATAGTTACAAACCTTATTGTTATTACCAAACCTAATTATTAGTACTCAGTACTAGCATCTTGCTAGAGCTTTGCATAAAGCAGCCGCCCTAGCTCCTTTATATTTACAGCCTCCATGCACACGAGCACGCGGACGTCGCCGCTGCCACCACCGTCGTCCATCGTCCCCTCATCGTTCATCAAGTACACATAGCCGCCACGGACGGACTCCGCCCGCGACATGAATTGCGGTTTTCCCCAACCAAAATCTGCATCGTACTGTGGCCTACCGAACCAGCTGGTAATATGCAGGTCCGTCTGTGGCAGGGTGCCTCTCAAAGTCGGTCTCTCGTCCATCTCGGCCATCTCGAAGTAGTCAATCGCGGACCGCACCAGCTCTTCATCCATCCGCTCGACGGTGCCCTTGATGCGGGCAGCGATGGATCCCAATGCCGCCGTGCCAATTTCCCCCGCCGCGCTGGTGACGCATAGCCTGAACACCGCGTTGCCGAAGTAGTGGCTCGGGAGGGGTGGCCTCATCCGGCGCCGGAGGTCGGCCGGGAACACGATGCGCACTTCAGAATCTGGTGGAAACCGGCGCGCAACGCACGTGCACTGCCAGATGAGAGCGCTCAGGGCGCAAAAGGTGCTCGTGCCACCGCAGAGGTGCTTCAAGGAGGCGACCTGGTCCCTGGAAATGGTGAACACTTCGAAGGCAAGAGGTCCGTCAGGGTCAGAGAAGATGAGCTTAGGGTGCAATGTCAAGAGTGCGTCGGGGTGGACTGTGGGCGGGGACCGTGCACGGAGTAGGGTGCGGTCGTGGCACGGGAGCTCCACGGCAGCGTGGTCACCGTGCTTGGAGAAGGCCGACCATGTCTGAAAAAAGTGGAATGCACTTGAAGCATCTATGGCGACGTGATGGAGAGCTGTTCCTAACGCCACCCTCCACACTTCAAGAAAGTCACCTGCCATCATAAGCACGCCAATTCATATATAATATACATAGATGGTTTTCAATTTTCTGAGAATAAAAAAATACGATTTGATCTCTAAAAAATTATAATTAATTCATTTCAAATTGGAGAAATTTAAAACTACTACCAGTTTTCTTATAAAATGTTATGTATCTGTTAGTGCTTTATTTAGAGTTGTTTGGCTATTATTTGTTTTAAATAAATAATGAACACGACTACAGGCAATAAAACAATAGAAACATAAATAAATCAGTTCCTAATAATTATATATAGATCATAAATATTAATATAACATTTTCATATTAGTTTCATATTTTTCTGATTTAAAATATTTTTTGAATTTTAGATAGCAAAACAACTGCTTACTATATTTGTATAAAATAGAAAACCATCTGTGAAACCAACAAGAGGACCCAATTTATGTACTCCCATTTATATTTAAATGTTAAAAAGCAGACTACCGTGAAAGTCGAAAGTTGAAAAATATTAAAAAGCATGGAGGCAGAGAAAAGTAGTGGACCTGTATGGCCATTATGATCGACGATGGCTCAATACGTGGAACAAACAGTCTCCTCAGCTCTGGCGATGGCTTGAATTGCTTGACGTCATCGACACTGAGATCATCAGCGTGAGCGACAACAAAGAGTGCACCTTCGCCGTTACAGCTGATCTCCATCCTATCGTCATCGTCGTTGACGCCAAGGCGGCCGGCGAGGGGGTAGAAGGCCACCAAGGCCTTGGCCATAGCCTTCTTGAGCCTGGCCACGTTGAAGAAATCAGCAGCAGCAACATCCTTGGAGCTGTACAAGTAGATCGTTGGGGTGTGGCCTTTGTTGGCCTGCACGAGGTCTAAAGAAGAGAGCCAAAGCCCCTTCCTCGGTGCCGGCTCGGTCGGCGTTACAAATGACGACTCTACCACCTGCACCTCGAAATCCATCGATTTCATTTTGTTCTTCTCACACTCACCGATTAAATAGGTCGCAACACAACCAGCGATGGGCGTTAGTACTGTTAGAGCGAGGGCAATAATAGAGCTAAGTATTTGGCCATAAGTTAAGTTATAAGAGCCAAGTTATACAACAGTTATCTTCTGTGTGTCTATAAAAAAAGTTTTCTATTATTATGTGGTATCATGTCTTAATTTCTTTTTCTTATCCTCCACATATACACTTTTACTTAGACCACAGATGTCTATGCTTCTGTGCACAGCTTGTCGCTTGCGTGAGAGCGAAGCTCTCATATCTCCCCTCTCTCTTTGGCTATAAATTCATTATTGTAGCTGCTCTTATCTGTAGCTGCAAGGGACAAAGAGTGAACGTTTGAGATCACGAACACCAACACCGTCATTTTCTGAAAATAGTAGGAACAAGTCCCGATCAGAGGCATGAGTGCGATTCTGAGAATGGAACCCACGCGGACAGCGTGCACATTATTGATGGAACCCACACCGACAGCGTGCACATTATTCTTTTAGAGACACGGAGATATCATTGCCTTTATTCTAGAGCAGAGCAGTTGACGCACTGACGCATGACAGCTGGTAATTAGCATCATCGCCTTTATTCTAGAGCATGTATAAAAAGTACTTCATTATAGAAAAATGTATCTCCGTTTTTTAAAGTCAATTAATCACATGTTCATCTAAATGTATAGAAAGATGCTAATATTTATTATGCGTAATAAATACTATTACATGAGTTCTGAAACATATTTTTATAATGTAGTAAACTTACTTAAAGATACAGATATTGATACTCCTTTTCTATAAAACTAATTAAATTTGAGGTATATTGACTAATGCGAGATTTGAGTTAGTTTGGTACGGTTCTGCCTTGCTTCGCTTTGGTTTTTTCGATAGAGCAGCCTCTCTAGTGAAGGCAAAGCTTTTTGTAAAAAAAGGATCAACAAAACGATCTCAAAAAGTATTTTTGAGAAAATATAGTAAAAACTAAAATTTTAGCTTTAGCTCCTAGTTCAAAAAAAGTTCCAACACTAGTAGAGAACAGACCTTTGATCCTCGGTCAAAATGGGCTCTAGTCCCGGCATTTTTTGCGCCCGGGAATAGAAATACCTTTAGTCCCGGATGGTGGCTCCAACCGGGGCTAAAGGTCCCTGCCCAACGGCTATTGCGCCAGGCAGAGGTGGCAGGGACCTTTAGTCCCGGTTGGAGCCACCAACCGGGACTAAAGGTATACTTTAACTCCCGGTTGGTGGCTCCAACCGGGAGTAAAGGTCTACTCCCGGGCCGTGGCTGCGCCCGGGGTTGGAAAGTTACCTTTAGTCCCGGTTGGAGCCACCAACCGGGACTAAAGGTCCCCTTTATATCCCGGCCGTCTCCTTCTTCCTCCCCGAGCCCGAGCTCAGCACATTTTAAAGCTCACTGCACTAGTGTTCTTGCTTCCTCCCTCCCTCCATTGTTTCTCCATCCATTCTTCGATTCCTCCGTCGATTTCTTCGATTCCTCTATCGATTCTTCAGTTGTAAAGGTTACCAATCTCATACTCTCATTTTTCACCATTGTCTTATCTCATTTTGTTCACTATATATATATATATGGTTCTTTATTGTGGTTTTTTTCATTTGTAAGCAATTTGAGCTTAAAATCACTTCAAGCTTGCATATTTACATGAAAGAAGGTTAAAGTAGCTAGTTGAACTTGCGGACCGTATTCATCTCAGCGAGCATGTTCTCTGCCGAGCGGTAACGGACGTCAAGGAGGAGCTTTGATTCTACGAGGGAGAGCGGCAACGGTCGTGGAAGACCGTGTTCCCTTCCTCGTAGAATCAGAGCTCTTCCTTAACAAGTACAGTGCCGTCCGGTGGAGAAATGCTCGTCGAGATGATCACGTAAGCAAGGTCAACTAGTACGGATGGTTATTTATTAAAACATGTTTTTGAGATATAGATAATTTTATAGTTTTTTAATTTTATTTGTTTATAAAATGAGAAATTTATAGTGTATTAAAAAATGAGTATAGAGAGTAGATGGCAACTGTTTCTGGGTCATCGGCCTCTCATGGGTTTCCAAAGCGACTTAGGCCGGGCCTCCCTCTCATTCCATGCGGCAAGTGTCGTGATGAGACGAAGATTGTGATGGAGTACCGAGTGAAGAAGGAGGGTCCCAACAAGGATCGTATCTTCTACAAGTGTCCGGATCGCAATGTGAATTATTTTATCGTATTTAATGATTATGGTTAGTTTATACCTATTTTTATGATGGTTGTGATTAAAGTTCTAATTTTTTTGTTTCAATTTCAGTGAGATGGCAGTGGACGATGTTCAGGCTTCTACTGGGAGGAAGAGTATGTTGAACTCGTACAAAAATATCTTGCACAACAGGCAGATACGACGACTAATGAGGCAGTGATCCAGCCGAAGAAGCCCAAAGATGTTGCACAATCGGGGGATCTGTCTGTTTTAGTTGAGATTAGTTGCGAAATCCTTGTGCTCCTGAAATGTATTTTAGCTTTAGTTCTTTTAGTGGTAGTTGGGATTGTCTACATTGTAGCGATGCTTTCATAAATTTGTACCTTTTGTGGTGGCACACATGTTGTATAAATAATTAATTATGATCTAGGTTTTAATATGGTATTTATGTCATGTAATACAAATGAGCCGGCATTGGATGTACAATGCTGATCGCCGCTCCCAAGACTTCATTGACGGCGTGCATTTTTTGTTACGTGCGGCCGAGGCAAATAAACGCGATGGTTTCATGTGCTACCCATGTGCCATATGTAAGAATACGGTAGAATATCCTTGCTCAAGGACTCTTCATTCACACTTATTCAAGTCAGGTTTCATGTCAAACTATATTTGTTGGACGAAGCACGGAGAAACCGGCGTTGTAATGGAAGAAGGTGAAGAAGAACAATGTGACGACAATGATATTATTCTCGATGGTGTGTGCTTCAATGATACTGCAATGGGAGAAGCTGAAGAAGAGGTAGCCACAGAAGATGAGCCTGCTGATGATCTTTGTCAGGTCATTCGTGACGCACAAAGAGAATGTGAAAGTGAAAAGTAGAAGATCAAGTTCGAGCGGATGCTAGAAGATCATAAGAAATTGTTGTACCCAACTTGTGCTGTAGGGCAGAAAAAGTTGGGAATCACACTAGAATTGCTGCAATGGAAGGCAAAGAATGGTGTATCTGACAAGGGATTTGGAGAGTTACTAAAAATCCAAAAGAAGATGCTTTCGAAGGACAATGAATTGCCCGCCACTACCTACGAAGCAAAACAAGTTGTCTGTCCTATGGGGCTAGAAATCAAGAAGATACATGCATGTCCTAATGACCGCATCCCTGTACTGCGGGCAAAGAGTACGAGAAATTGGATGCATGCCCGGTATGCCATGCATCATGAGTATAAGATCAAAGCGAGATGACCTCGGTGATGTTGAGGGCGAGTGTTCGTGGAAGAAAATCCTGCCAAGGTTATGTGGTATGCTCCTATAATACCACGCTTGAAACGCCTGCTCGTAAAACAAAGAACATGCAAAATTGTTGCGATGGCACAAAGAAGACCGTAAGGTAGACAATATGTTGAGACACCCTGCTGATGGGTCCCAATGGAGAGCAATCGACAGAGAATTCCCGGAGTTTGCAAATGATGTAAGAAACTTAAGGTTTGCTTTAAGTACAGATGGTATCAATCCTTTTGGAGAGCAGAACAGTAGTCATAGCACTTGGCCTGTTACTCTAAGTATCTACAACATTCCTCCTTGGTTATGCATGAAGCGGAAGTTCATTATGATGCCCGTGCTCATCCAAGGCCCGAAGCAACGACAATGACATCGATGTGTACCGAGACCACTTATTGATGAACTTCTCATTTTGTGGAATAAAGAAGGTGTATGCGTGTGTGGGATGAGTACAAACAGAACACTTTGATCTCATGAGCATTGTTGTTGTTCATAACAATCAATGATTGGCCCGCTCTAAGTAATCTTTCGAGATAGTCAAACAAGGGATATAATGCATGCACACACCGCTTCGGTGATATTAGAGGTGTATTCTTGAAAAAATATTGAAAGGTCGTGTACCTTGGCCATCGTCGATTTCTTTCTACAAATCACCCCAGTAAGAAAGAAAGGCAAGCATTTTAAAGGGAAGGCACCACGACCAAGCCTCGCAACCGAACCGGTGAGGATGTACTGATATGGTCAATGATGTGAAAGTCGTCTTTGGAAAAGGACATGGAAGCCAACCTGTTCCAAACGACGCTAACGGTCACGCACCCATGTGGAAGAAGAAGTCCATATTTTGGGACCTAGAGGTCCTAGAGGTCCGCAGCTCGATCGACGTGATGCACCTGACGAAGAATCTTTGTGTGAACCTGCTAGGCTTCATGGGTGTGTATGGAAAGCCTAAGGACACATTTGAAGCACGATAGGACCTGCGTTGTTTGAGAGAAAGAGACAACCTGCATCCAGAGAAGACATATGATGGACGCCATTACTTACGTCCTACCAGCTACACTCTAAGCAAAGAGGAGAAGGAAATCATGTTTGAATGCTTAAACAACATCAAGGTACCATCTGGATTCTCCTCGAATATAAAGGGTATTATAAATGTGCCAGAGAAGAAATTCTGTAACTTAAAGTCCCATGACTGTCACGTTCTCATGACGCAATTACTTCCAGTTGCATTAAGAGGAATTCTACCTCCAAATGTACATCTAGCCACCGTGAAGCTATGTGCATTCCTCAATGCAATTTCTCAGAAGGCAATTGATCCAGCTGATCTAGCTAAACTACAGAATGATATGGTTCAATGTCTCATCAGCTTTGAGTTGGTGTTCCCTCCTTCCTTCTTTGATATCATGACACACCTCCTAGTTCACCTAGTCAAGGAGATTTTCATTCTCGGTCTTGTGTTCCTACACAACATGTTCCCCTTAGAGAGATTCATGGGAGTCCTGAAGAAATATGTTCACA